AGTGGATCACCGGACAATCAGAGCTTCACTCTGGCCGATCTTCTAGACACTGGCGAGGCATAGACTCGTCAGTCATTGCTCCCATGAATAGATCCCCTTCCTAGCGCCCGGAATGTAGTTACTCTAACAGCTGGTAGCTAACCACACTGCCGGTACTTGCATATCACCGTGCAACTGGCTTCTAACAATAACTCTCAGCATGTAACCGGGCCCTGTGTGTACTCATACACCAGACAGTTGAAATGGCTCCGTTACAAGGAAGCATAACCCGGACATTAATTGGGAACTCAACACCATGAGCTGGAGGAGTGACTACTGCAAGCAGAATTGTCTCCCAGCGGCCACCAAGATCGAACTGATCTCTCCATACCAAATGTTGGAAGAAGAAGAGACAGTGTATCAATTGGTTGGTTCAGTATGGCATGATGAGGACGGAGGTGATATTGCTGAGAAAATACACCACCTATACCGGGATTGGGCCGATGTGTTCAGTCAAGAGAAGATTGAGGAAATGCCGCCGCATTCCCATAATGATTTAAAGATCAAACTCTTGCCTGGGACCGCTCCCCCATTTGGCCCGCTGTACCCATGTTCCGCTCCAGAATTGAAGGCCCTCCGAGAGTACCTGGACAAAGAATTGTCTTCAGGAAAGATCTCTAGATCTAATAGCCCCGCTGCGGCGCCCATACTGTTCATTCCTAAGAAGGATGGGACATTGCGGATTTGTGTGGACTACAGGGGATTGAACAAGGTCACTGTCAAGGACAAGTACCCGCTGCCTATCATGAGTGAGCTCAGAGACAGGTTGTTCAAGGCCAAGATCTTCACAAAGATAGACCTGAAGAACGGCTTCAATCTGATCAGGATAGCTGAAGGTGATGAGTGGAAAACCGCTTTCAGAACTCGCTATGGACTGTATCAGTATAATGTGATGCCGTTTGGTCTATGCAATGCTCCCTCCGCTTTCCAGGCCATGATCAATGATGTGCTGAAGGAACTACTGGATGAAGGAGTGGTTGTCTATATCGACGACATCCTCATCTACTCGGAGACTGAGAAAGAGCATGAGCTACTGGTCAAGAAGGTCTTACAGAAGCTAAGGGAAGCTAAGCTCTGTGCCTCGATCAGTAAGACATCCTTCCATGTCCGAGAAGTAGAGTACCTAGGCTATCACATCTCGGAAAAAGGAGTATCTATGTCAGAAGACAAGGTGGAGGCAGTTAAGGAATGGCCAATCCCTGAGAATATCAAGGCAGTACAGGCATTCCTCGGATTTGCAAACTTCTATCGCCGCTTCATTAAAGGCTTCAGTAAGGTTTGCAAGCCATTAACTGACCTCCTACAAAAAGACAAGAAATGGTATTGGACGGCAGTACATGAACGGGCCTTTGGAGAACTCAAGAGGCTGTTCACAACCGCTCCAATCCTCCTTCATTTCGACCCTAGTAGGAGAACGATGGTCGAGACAGATGCCAGTGATTTTGCCAAGGGAGCGGTGCTCTCTCAGTATGGGGACGATAGGAAGCTACATCCGGTGGCATTCTATTCTAAGAAGTTTTCCCCTGCTGAGATCAACTATGACATTCATGATAAGGAAATGGGAGCTATTGTAGCCTCTTTCCGGGAATGGGAACACATGCTCAAATCTTGTGAGCAAGAGATTACGGTTTTCACAGACCACAAGAACTTGGAGTATTTTAATTCTACCAAGGTTCTCACTAGGCGGCAAGCTAGATGGTCTGAAGACCTCGCAGGCTACAATTTTAAAGTTGTCTACAGACCGGGAGAGAAGAATGGCAAGACTGATGTGCTATCTAGGCGCTGGGATCACCGCCTTGGAAAGGGAGGTGAAACTCTGCAGCCGGAGCCACAGATGTTTTTTAGGCCAGGTCAATTGGTTTTGGATCCTGCAAAGCTAGCGGCTGTCAGGGTGAATCAATTGCAGAATACATTCTTAGAGCGCCTATATACGGCTGCTAAAGAGGATAGTTTCTGGCAGGAATTGCACCGCTCCCTGGTTGAAAGGAAACCAAATTTGGACCAGAACTTGTCGGTCAAGAACGGTCTCATCTTCTACAAGAATAGATGGTATATACCCAAAGACAAGAAGCTTCAGATGGAAATACTGTCCGATACCCATGACTCTAAGGTGGCTGGTCACTTTGGCCAATTTAAGACACTTGAGCGGGTGAAAAACAACTTCTTTTGGCCCAACATGGATAAGGATGTTGAGGAATATGTCCGGAGCTGTGACAGCTGCCAGAGGAATAAGACCTCAAGACATAGGAAGTTTGGTATGCTCCAACCATTGGAGATACCCTATCGGCCATGGACTTCCATCTCTATGGACTTCATTGTGGGGTTACCGGAATCTAGTGGGTTTACAAAGATCTGGGTAATAGTGGACCGCTTTTCGAAGATGGCACACTACATCCCTCTTCCTACCCTCAATAAAACGGAAGATTTGGCTAAGTTGTTCTTGAAGGAAGTTTGGAGACTACATGGTTTACCTGATGACATAGTCTCGGACAGAGATAGCAGGTTCATTTCTCACTTTTGGCAATCTCTCATGAGTCTCCTCAATGTGAAGCTAAAGATGTCCACATCCTTCCACCCACAAACGGACGGTCAAACAGAAAGAGTTAACCAGACCCTGGAACATTACTTGCGGAGTTATTGTTCATATCAACAGGATGACTGGGCAGAACTCTTGCCTTTGGCAGAGTATGCATATAACTCGGCGGTCTCTGAGTCTACCAAAGTATCGGCTTTTTATGCCAACTATGGATATGAACCCAGGACCAACTGGCCGGCCCCAAAGGAAGGAGTAGAATGGAACAATCCAGCGAGCGAGGTCATGACATCTCAATGGGAATCTATCTGGCAGGCTATGAACGCCAGCTTGGGTAAGGCTAGATTAAGGATGGCCCGGTGGTATGATGCTCATGCCCTGGCACCGCCTGAAATCAAGCCCGGAGATGAAGTTATGTTGGACCGGCGCAATGTGCAAACAAAGCGGCCTTTGGGAAAACTGGATCAGAAGAAGATGGGACCTTTTAAGGTCTTAGAAGCTATTGGTACCCGTGCCTACAAGCTCTCTCTTCCCCCCCAAATGGGAATCCACCCGGTCTTTCATGTCTCTCTTCTGGAACCTTATCGAGCACCGGTAGATCCTGAGAGAAGAGTTCCTGTACCGGAGCCTGAAGAGATTGAAGGAGAACAGAACTGGGTTGTCCGAGAGGTAGCTGATAGCCGGATCAATAAGAAAAGGAGACGAGTGGAATACCTAGTGCTGTGGGAAGGTTATGAAAACGAGGATGCTACATGGGAACCTTGGGAGCATCTCAAGAAGAGTGCTGAAGAAGCCCTTCGGGATTTCCATATGAGGTATCCTAAGAAACCCAAGGACAAGCGAATTGTTGGGGTGTAGATTATTTCCTTTTGGGTTTTCATTTCCTTGCATATCACGGGGTTTCTTGTCATATAGAATGAATGGTAATAGAATGGTTATAGATCTCGGAGACCAAGATCCTGGAAGAGGGGAGTGGTGTAACGGAGCCATTTCAACTGTCTGGTGTATGAGTACACACAGGGCCCGGTTACATGCTGAGAGTTATTGTTAGAAGCCAGTTGCACGGTGATATGCAAGTACCGGCAGTGTGGTTAGCTACCAGCTGTTAGAGTAACTACATTCCGGGCGCTAGGAAGGGGATCTATTCATGGGAGCAATGACTGACGAGTCTATGCCTCGCCAGTGACTAGAAGACCGGCCAGAGTGAAGCTCTGATTGTCCGGTGATCCACTGTATCCTCTGAGCATTGTAAGTCCGCCGAAGGGCAGGGACTATGCTAGGGAAGTCTACAATAAGTAAAAAGCTCTACAGCAATGATTAAGCTTACACCTGAGCAGCAGCTCATTCATGCAGGTCCTCGGTTGTGTGGCAACCAAGGCTGCAGGTGTTACAAAGGCTTTGACTAAGGGTGGTTGCCTTGGGTATCGGAAACACCTGCTGACGCTTAGAGAAAAGCGGGGTAGCGGTGGTATTGTTTCCGGTACTGAGGGAAGGCCCACCGGAACTTAGTAAAGGAGTTAGGAGCAGAGAATAGAGGCCTTCGGAGTATAAGTACTCAGGTTCATTCTCGCCCTTCAGTCCTATTCTCTCCAGTCTTCATCAGAAAGAAAAACCAAGTTCTTATCGGTAGCAGAGCCCTTAAAGATTATTGAGTTCTAGCGATAGTATCTTTGAATAATCTGCAACCTGATTGTCTATCTTGCACGGCCGTCTCTATTCTATACAAATTCATTTCTCTTAGAAAGGACCCCCGTTACAAAGCCTTTGTAACACCTGCAGCCTTGGTTGGCACACAACCGAGGGCCTGCATGAATGAGTTGCCGCTCAGGTGTAAGCTTAATCATTGCTGTAGAGCTTTCGCTTATTGTAGACTTCCTAGCATAGTCCCTACCCTTCGGCGGACTTACAATGCTCAGAGGATATAGAGGATCACCGGGCAATTAGAGCTTCGCTCTGGCCGGTCTTCTAGTCACTGGCGAGGCATAGACTCGTCAGTCATTGCTCCCATGAATAGATCCTCTTCCTAGCGCCTGGAATGTAGTTACTCTAACAGCTGGTAGCTAACCACACTGCCGGTACTTGCATATCACCGTGCAACTGGCTTCTAACAATAACTCTCAGCATGTAACCGGGCCCTGTGTGTACTCATACACCAGACAGTTGAAGTGGCACCGTTACAACAGGTCACTGGTTGGGTTGACCACTTCGGCTGACGTCGGCCAGTTGGTTCTTGGGTTGTAACCGTAATTGGTATAGAACGGAGATTGACCCGTGGCTGTGGTAACCGAGTTGTTGTAAGCATACTCCGCCAATGGGAGTAGCTCTGCCCAATCATCTTGCTCATAGTTGCAGAACGCTCATAAGTAGTGCTCGAGGGTTTGGTTAACTCGCTCTGTTTGCCCATCGGTCTGAGGGTGGAAAGCCGTACTCATTCTTATTCTCACATCCAACAATTCCATAAGGGATGCCCAAAAGCTTGAAGTAAACTTGGCATCTCTGTCGGAAACTATATCAAGAGGCAGCCCATGGAGTCGCCAGATTTGACCGAGGAATATCTTCGCTAAATCCTGCGCGGTCGTTTCTGCTACTAGGGGGATGAAGTGCGACATCTTCGAGAACCTCTCAAGGGGACGAGTAGCGAGTGTTCCGCAGGGTACGAAGCGTATGGTAGGGAACGGTATGGGAACTCGCAATAAGGGTCCTAGGGGACTCTAGCGTTGGTAAGGGTCAACAGGACAAGAGGAAGCGAGGCGGTGGTATTCTTGAATAAAGAAGCGGATGATAATGTTGTATAGCAATAGACAGCGTAGATACAGAAGACATTGCGTAGTAGAAGAAAGAAAAGAAAAAGAAAAAGAAACGAAAGCGAAAACCCCTTAATATACCCAAGGAAATCCTAACGATGACAAATCCAAAGTGACTCATACGCTTACAACCCACAGAACCCAATAGAACCGAATAGAACCCTTCTGACTAATCCAACTCCTCGTAACCCAGTGTATTCACTAGTCGATCCATGAAAGTAGCCCCCCCCTTCAAACGCGAGCTCCTGCGAGCCTTAACCCTAATCTTCCCTTCCAACGGTCCAGGTTTATCGGAGTAACGTGTATGGAAGACATCAACGGCGACGGTATTTTCGTGTTATGCGGCGGGCTCCCAGGTGGGGTCGGTATAGCCGGTCCACTTAACAAAGTATTGCAGGCCGTTATTTCTTGTTTCCCTCGAGTCCAATATTTCCTCGACTGCATACTCCTCTTCCTGTTCGATGATAATAGGCGGGGGTGGTGGTTGAGTTTGCCCCGGAACGGGGTCATTTGCAGCGGAGTTTAGCAACGATACATGGAAGACGGGGTGCACCTTCATACTCCTAGGCAGGTCGATTCGGTACGCATACGGCGATATGATTTCTTTGACGGGGAATGGTCCCAGTTTCTTCCAGTCCAACTTCCGAGAGTTACGGGTGGTTCGGATGTTTTTCGCTGAAACAAACACCATATCGCCAATGTCGTACCGCGGAGCCGGCATTCGTTTGGTATTGACGGCCTGTTCTTGTTAGTCTTGCGCTGTGCGGATATTGGAGCGTAGGTATTCGTGGAGTTCCTTCATCTTCGAGGCGAAGTCTTTAGCATTGAGACTCGGTGGGGTCCTGTCGAGCGATTTAATCGTCACTGTGAACCGAGGGTGGAAACCATAGTTCGCGAAGAATGGTGTAGCTTTGGTAGATGCGGAGACCTGATTATTGGCAGAGAATTCTGCCACAGGGAGCCATTTTACCCAATCGTCCTATTGATAAGAGACATATCCACATAGATATTGCTCCATTACGGCGTTCAGCCTTTCAGTTTGGCCGTCGGTCTCCGGGTGGAAGGCGGTAGACATTCTTGCTTCGGTGTTAAGGTGTTTACAGAGAGCCCTCCAGAACTTGGCTGTGAATTGCGTACCGCGGTCGGAGGTGACATGTGTAGGTAGCCCATGGAGCTTCCATATATTCCGCAAATATAGTTGGGCGACATTTTCAGAGTTGACGGTGGTATTACAGGGCAGGAGATGTCGCATCTTTGTTAACCGGTCAACAACCACCATAATCGCATCGTACCCTTCGCTCTCCGGTAGGCCAGTGACGAAGTCCATTGATACCTCCTGCCATGGTTGTTCGGGAATTGGTAAAGGTCGAAGTACGCCGAGTTTTCCATGGGTGTTTGGTTTGCTTCGTTGACAGGTGTGGCAGTTCCGAACGTAGCGGGCAATATAATTCCGCATAAGGGGCCAGTAGTAGTCTCGACTGATGAGTTCGAATGTTTTTTCGCATCCAGGATGTCCGGCGGAGGCAGCGTCATGGTAGAGTTGGAGGATTCGGAGCTTGAGAGGGTCGTAGTCGGGTACATATATGCTGCCTTGGTAAAGCAACCGGCCTTCAACTTCGGTGCATTCGGCGAGTGATATGTCCTTTGATTGTCGCTAACCTTTGTTCCGCATATCCAGTATCTTTTGTGGAAACGGGTCAGCGCTATATCCTTCGTCGAATAGACTATTCAGCGAGACGTTCTTTTCAGCGGGCTCATTTGAGAAAGAACCCGCCAACAAACTTAGCTTTGCATCAAGATTTTCCTTCTTCAATAAAACTTGACTCTGGTGTAATTGTCTTTCATCCCCCTCTCCAGGGAGATCTCCTGATCTTCTTGTCAACGCGTCCGGTTTCCCTCCTTGTTTCCCTGGTCGATACTTGATGACAAAATTAAACCGTGATAAATACTCCGCCCACCGGGCTTGTCTCCGGTTGAGTTGTTTCGTACTCATAAAGTATTCGAGATTCTTATGATCGGATATGACGGCGATTGGGTGTGCAGCCCCTTCGAGTTCCGGTCGCCATTCCTCGAAGGATCGAATAATCGCCAGTAATTCCTTGTCGTACATCTCGTAGTTGCATTCGGCGGGGGAGTGCTTTTTCGAAAAGTATGTGACGGGCCGAAGGGTACCATTATCATCGTATTGGGAGAGTACACCGGCAGAGACATAGTTGGATGCATCGGTTTCCACGGTAATTTCTTTCTCCGGGTCAAAATGGGTAAGGATGGGAGCAGTGGTAAAGGCTTCCTTCAAGGCGTTGAAGGCAGTTTGGGCTCTGGGTGTCCATTCGAACAGTATGTCCTTGCGTGTCAGTCTGGTAAGGGGGGAAGCTAGTTCCGAGAACCCGCGTATGAATCGACGGTAAAAATTAGCGAAACCTAGAAATGCTTGCACATCCTTAACTGTTTTGGGAACGGTCCAATTCTTCACTGTCTCCACTTTCCTTGGATCCATTTTAATGCCATTGAGTTCGATGATTAGGCCGAGGTAGGTGGTGCTTTGTGTATGGAATTCGCATTTCTCTGGTTTCAGCAGTACTCCATTTCGTTGTAGGGCTTCTAAGACCTTTTCGACGTGTACCTGATTGTTACGGGCATGCCAAGTATTTACGGGAGTGAGAGAAAAGGCTAGTAGATACCCCAATACCCTCTATATGCCAACGCTATCTCTGGACCGCACTCGCGGAGTGTGGTGCGACCAATATACGATCAAAACACGGAGTCATAAAAAACACGTTTTCGACCCCAATAATAACCCCCGGAGCGTCAAACCGCCGGAGGGGAGTGTTTTGGTACCGGTGGATATATGAGGGACAGCTGGAATCAATCGGATCGAAGATCGGACCGCTCGGAGCGAATCGGCGCAAGCTGCCAGCCGACCGAGTACCTATCGGCGGTACCTGTGGGCATGAGAGGACTCTGCTATGTGGGAAAGCGATGTGGGAAGAGGCCTGAGTAGGTAGCCTTGCCGTCCGAGACCTCCGAATAGCCGACGCTGACGATTATCCACCAGACGGCCGATGGAGAAGAAACATCGACAGGGAAACGTACATTAGAGTGGATAAATAGGTTGAGGGGTTTTAGCGGCTTTAGGAGTTTGGGTTACGGACTTAGGAGTTAAATGTTCTTGGTTGTTTTTCAGGGTCTCGGGCATGCCCCGAGTGTATTTTGTATTATTAGTAGACTGGGTCCTCGAGACATAAGCGAGGGATATAAATACCGTGTCATTCACTGACTAGCCAAACTATCATCGGCGAAATCAGAGTCTTAACAATATAAATCGTTGATACGCGAGTTACAACTTTATTTGACTATACTTTTGGAAATACTTTATTCTATTTGTGACTTCGAACTCTACCTGAACTATTACGTCGAAGACGGTCGAACATCACACGCTAACTCTAGTGAATCTTTGTTGATAACGTAGCTCGCGGGGCCCGTATCGGATCAAGGAGAATCATACTCGACGTTGACTGAAGAGACCTTGGAAACTTCTACCTTTGTAGCTGTTAGCCGAACTCTGAGCTCTGCGTAGTGTACTCTTGTGGTCTGGTACGCATCACCCACAGTATATTGTTACTCACAAGTTCACTTGGAGTAACGAAGTCACCTCAAAAAAAAAACTATCATCATTATCCCCTATCATAATGACTACCCGAAGGGATAATTACTTCATAGATACCTCGGCCGTAACTGAGGAGGCCGGAGGAGAAGATTCTATGGTGATATCAAGGGCTGCTAGCCCAGACCCCCTACTTACGGGAGGACCCTCCACACAAACTAGGCAATCGAGTAAACGCTCTGCTCAAGCCCAGTTCGTGAGAAACATGCAGGAGTTTTTGGATACCCATGAGGCACAAATGAGGTATCTTGGTGCAGCTGGACAGGCCGTTTGGCAGCAGCTACAAAACCTCCAGGAACAAGTCCAAGGGAGTGGGCAAATCCTGGATAAGAAGGTACGGCAAGAAGCCATTGCCCAAAAACAACATCTGGAATCGCTCTTCGAACTCGTCTCTAGTGTCCAACAAGTACATGAAGCTGCACGAGCCGCCAACCACAAGGTTCTGGAGCAAAGTCATCTGCAAACCCAGAACCAGTTACAGGAGGCGGAGCGACAACTGAGGATGGTGAGAGAAGAGCGAGAGCAGGAAAAAGGGGAGCAACGAGCTTGGTTTGCGGAATTCAAGCGGTCCGATGCGGAAAGAAACCAACGGATAGCCGAGATGGAGGAACTACTACGACAACATCTGTCAGTAGCACCTTCCGTGGCAGGTGCTCCCTTAGATCCTAATGCACCCCGAACGGTTCCTGTTGGCAATGGCAAGAAACCCGAAAATGCTGGCCCAGTAGGAGGAAACGCTGGTCCAGTAGGAGGAAATGGAGGCAGGCAACCGGAGAATGACGGCCCAGTGCAGGGCAATAATGGCAGAGGACCGGTGGGAGCTGCTCCAGTTGGCGGGAATGGTGGAAATCAACCTCCACAAAACCCACCAAGAGGAAACGTTGGGGGAGATCCAGAACCTTCCGACGACGATGACGACGATAACAGTGAATGGTCGCACGGTCGGAAGAATTGGAGAATGAACAGAGGCGGAAACCGGAATTCGGCGCCGCCTGAAGACGACGATATGGTAGATTCGCTCGCCAAAATACCCTTTGAGTTCGATAATGCCAGAAAGCATAACCTGCGGCATTGGCTCATGGAGTGCGAGATCTACTTCGAGCAGAAGCCCAAGAAGTTCCGAACGGACAGGAATAAGGTACTGTTCGCTGGGACGTATACGTGTGGGTTGGCAAAGGAATGGTTTATGGAATATATCGAGACCAAGATGCTAGGACCGGCAGCCGCGGACTATGCTACTTGGACTCGGTTCCGTCAGGAGATCAGGAAACGCTTCTTAAGCACTCAGGAGGCTATGGAGAACGCGATGAAGATGCAGCAGTTTAAGTACTCTGCTAACATCGGAGACTACCTGACGAGAATGGAAATCATGAACCAGCATGCTCAGATGAAAGGAGCATCCTATCGCGCCGCCCTGCTCCAAGGACTACCAAATGAAATCCGGGAGCGCCAGTCACGCTTCGATCCAACCGATGACGACTCCGAGTACATCCAACAGTTGGAACGAGCCGGCAAGGCTCATGAGGCTTATCAAGAGCAGATGAAGATGTTGGGGAAAGCGGAGTCGAGAGGAAGGGAGACGAATAATGGTGGGAACTTGCGGCAAAAGGAGAAGGGGTTTAAGATCAAGGGGAGGGCTCAAACTGAGGAGAAAGAAAAAGGGCAAGATAAGAAGAGCACCAGCAAGAACAAGTCGGGGAATAAGCCAATATACCACGACTACGACGAAGCCACCAAAGGAGTTCCACAGCCGGTCCGAGAACAGCGAAAGACCGATGGAGCCTGTGTGCGATGTGGCCGAAAGGGTCATCTTTGGAAGTGGTGTCGTTCAGATGCTAACAGCAGTGCATCTATCTCCTCTTTCTCCCGAAAGCGCACCCGCGATGACGATGGCGACCACGATATGGAACCACCGGAACCCCAACCTCAGAGAAAGCGAATGAGGCACCGGGCTAAGAAGCCGGCTGCGACGGCTGCTGCGGAGTACACCAGTGGACAAGCGTTTGTGCGAGAACGCGGATCGGAATCTGAGATGGATTTCGACGAGGATTTTTAAAAAGGGACTCTGATGAGTCAGGTCAGGAGTATCCCCAGATTGCTATGTTATCACTGACGGAAAACAATAAAAAAAATATGAAAAGAAAAAGGCAGGAAGGGAGAGCGTCCCAACCGGAGAAAAAACAGAAAATTTTGGAGGAACCTATTCATGGTCCTCGACCTATCGTTAATCAGTTCCTTTGTTTTGCGGAAAAATGTTTACCCTGTAAGGTGTTGTTGGATACTGGTGCAACTGGTCCTGTTTTGTCTGCTGTTTTTGTTGATAGTTTTGAGGTCCCGAAGGTGAAACGAGACGTCCCGGCCCGGGTATTTGGATTTACGGGAGAAGTTATGAAGGGCACGGGACACGCCTTTACACAACCATTAATTATAATGTCAAGGGGGCATCAAACACAGCTATCATTCGAGATCGCCCCTCTCCCGGTTGGCATCGATGCAATACTACCGAACTGGTGGTTGAAAGAACACAAGCCAGTTATAGGGTCAAATGGGGAAGTCTCCTACGATGGTGAAAACTGCAAGAGTCGATGCTTCACTGACAAGGAACCTCAAATAGAGATGGACGAGGGTGTATTAGACGATCCGGAGGCCCAATTCATCGGTAGCATCTGTCTTTTGGAAGATGAATCGGTTAACCTCCGCGAAACTCTTCCCTCTTGGCTCCATGGGTTCCTTAAAGTCTTCCTACCATCGGAAGCAGACAAATTACCACCACATCGATCTTACGACCATGCGATAGATCTTGAACCAGGGAAACAGCCACCATGGGGACCCGTTTACTCCCTATCCGAAGTCGAGCTGAAGGTGCTTCGGGAGTACCTAGATAAAATGTTGCGATTGGGAAAGATTAGGCCAAGCAAATCTCCAGCAGGAGCCCCAATCCTATTTGTGAAGAAGAAGGACGGTAGTCTGCGACTTTGTGTTGACTACCGTGGACTTAACCGTGTGTCCATTAAGAACAGGTATCCGTTACAACTTATGGACGAGCTGCGAGATCGAGTGGCAGGCGCGGTTATCTTCTCGAAGATTGACCTAAAAGAAGGTTATAACCTCATTAGGATCAAAGACGGCGACGAGTGGAAGACAGCCTTTCGTACGCGGTACGGGCATTTTGAGTACCTCGTCATGCCTTTTGGGCTGGCAAATGCGCCGGCGACCTTCCAGAACATGATGAATGATGCGCTGAGGGAATTCTTGGATCAGGGTGTAGTAGTATACCTTGATGATATCCTAATATATAGCAAGTCTCGAGAGGAACACAGAGAGCTGGTCGGCAAAGTACTTAGCAGGCTACAAGAATACAACCTGGTCGCTAACCCGAAGAAATCGTTCTTCGAGCTCACCGAAATCGAGTTCCTCGGATATATCCTTGCCCCAGCAGGCGTCACCATGGCACTGGATAAGGTTATGTCTGTTACGAATTGGCAAGCCCCGCGCAGCGTTAAAGAAGTACAGATCTTCATGGGCTTTGCCAACTTCTACAGAAGGTTTATCCACAATTTCTCCGGGGTCTGTAAACCCATTACCGATTGTCTCAGGGGTGATGCTAAGAACTTTGTCTGGTCTATGACGGCCCAAGCAGCCTTCGAAAAACTCAAAACCCTGTTTACGTCTGCGCCGATCTTGGTACACTTCTCGCCAGATCGCCAGACTATCGTGGAAACGGACGCAAGTGATTTTGCTATTGCCGCAATTCTATCCCAGGTTATTGACGGAAAGACTCACCCTGTTGCCTTTTATTCTCGAAAACTTAACCCAGCGGAACTCAACTACGACGTCTGGGATAAGGAGATGCTAGGAATTGTGTCAGCCTTCAAGCAATGGCGTCACTACCTCGAAGGACCTAGCCGAACGGTTCTCGTCTATACGGATCATAAGAACTTGGAATATTTTTCAACAACCAAGGTTCTTAACCGACGACAGGCAAGGTGGGCTGAGTCTTTGGCGGAATTTGACTTCAAGATTATTTACCGCCCGGGAACCAAAAATGGGAAGGCAGATGCACTATCGCGAGGGCCGGAGTACCGTCCTGAAGGGGGAGGCACGCTTGGGAAACAACCAATAGACAGGTTCTTTAAGCCCGGACAGTTGGCGGAAGAAGAGTTTGTGGTATCAGCGGTGTCGCTTGCCTCCAAGGGGGTGATCGACTGGTCTAAGACCTTTCTGGATCATGTCAGGCAGGCGGCATCGGGAGACCCGATATGGGTAGGATTGAGAGAGAGAGTTGAGCAAGGGGAGAAGCTGGGGGAACTGAAGGATATTGCTGAGAAAGACGGGCTACTCTTCTATAAGAACCGACTCTACATTCCGGCAGACGACCGTATCAAGATCCGGATAGCACAGGCCGAGCACGATTCGAAAGTGGCAGGGCATTTCGGACAAGATAAGACGTTGGAACTCATCACGCGCAACTTCTATTGGCCAAAAATGAACGAGTGGATTGATGACTACGTTCGGTCATGTGACGAGTGCCAGCGCAACAAACCCAGCCGCCATAAGAAATACGGTGCGCTTCTACCACTGTCCACGCCACATTCTGTCTGGCAATCGATATCAATGGACTTCATCGTACAGTTACCGGAATCAAAGGGATACAATCAAATCTGGGTAGTAGTCGATAGGTTCTCGAAGATGTCGCACTTCATCCCCTTAGTAGCAGAAACGACCGCGCAGGATTTAGCGAAGATATTCCTCGGTCAAATCTGGCGACTCCATGGGCTGCCTCTTGATATAGTTTCCGATAGGGACGCCAAGTTTACTTCAAGCTTTTGGGCATCCCTTATGGAATTATTGGACGTGAGGATAAGAATGAGTACGGCTTTCCACCCTCAGACCGATGGGCAAACAGAGCGGGTTAATCAAACCCTTGAGCACTACCTACGAGCGTTCTGCAACTATGAGCAAGATGATTGGGCAGAACTACTCCCGTTGGCGGAGTATGCTTACAACAACTCGGTTACCACCGCCACGGGTCAATCTCCGTTCTATACCAATTACGGTTACAACCCAAGAACCAACTGGCCGTCGGAAGCCGAAGTGGTCAACCCAACCAGTGACCTGTACGCTCACTTCATCCGAGGAGTTCACGACTCTGCTCTCGCTCGCTTGACAGACACCAGGGAGAAGATGGGGAAATACTATGATCGGAAAAGGGACGAACCGCCGAACTTTAAGATAGGCGACATGGTCATGCTCAATGCGGCCAATATCAAGACACGTCGCTCCACCAAAAAGCTCGATCATAAGAAACTCGGTCCGTTCAAGATCATCCGACTAGCGGGAAAACGAGCCTGTGAATTGGAACTGCCACCACAAATCAAAATCCATAACGTGTTCCATATTGAACTTTTGGAACGTTACCGACAGAGCAGTATCCCAGGCCGTGAACAACGCCCCCCGACTCCCGAAGAGGTCGATAAGGAAGGAGAGGTTTTGTACGAAGTGGAAAGCATAGTGGGAAGCCGGAAGAGTAGAAGAGGATTAGTGGAATACCTGGTGAAATGGCGGGGCTACTCGATGAGCGACTGTACTTACCAAGTCATGGACGTTATGAACGCAGACGTACTTGACCTAGTCCGCGACTTTCATCGAAGGAACCCCAAGGCCGTGAAGGACCAACGCCTGAGACTATAGAGGTACCCTACGGGGCTAAGTCCTTCCCCTCCACAGACACCACGGGTGATATGTGGAGCAGGTTTACTGGAACCATAGTCTGTCAGAAGATGTCCCGAGACGTGACACCCTGGAAGGGGGGTAAGCTGTTACGGGCATGCCAAGTATTTACGGGAGTGAGAGAAAAGGCTAGTAGATACCCCAATACCCTCTATACGCCAACGCTATCTCTGGACCGCACTCGCGGAGTGTGGTGCGACCAATATACGATCAAAACACGGAGTCATAAAAAACACGTTTTCGACCCCAATAATAACCCCCGGAGCATCAAACCGCCGGAGGGGAGTGTTTTGGTACCGGTGGATATATGAGGGACAGCTGGAATCAATCGGATCGAAGATCGGACCGCTCGGAGCGAATCGGCGCAAGCTGCCAGCCGACCGAGTACCTATCGGCGGTACCTGTGGGCATGAGAGGACTCTGCTATGTGGGAAAGCGATGTGGGAAGAGGCCTGAGTAGGTAGCCTTGCCGTCCGAGACCTCCGAATAGCCGACGCTGACGATTATCCACCAGACGGCCGATGGAGAAGAAACATCGACAGGGAAACGTGCATTAGAGTGGATAAATAGGTTGAGGGGTTTTAGCGGCTTTAGGAGTTTGGGTTACGGACTTAGGAGTTAAATGTTCTTGGTTGTTTTTCAGGGTCTCGGGCATGCCCCGAGTGTATTTTGTATTATTAGTAGACTGGGTCCTCGAGACATAAGCGAGGGATATAAATACCGTGTCATTCACTGACTAGCCAAACTATCATCGGCGAAATCAGAGTCTTAACAATATAAATCGTTGATACGCGAGTTACAACTTTATTTGACTATACTTTTGGAAATACTTTATTCTATTTGTGACTTCGAACTCTACCTGAACTATTACGTCGAAGACGGTCGAACATCACACGCTAACTCTAGTGAATCTTTGTTGATAACGTAGCTCGCGGGGCCCGTATCGGATCAAGGAGAATCATACTCGACGTTGACTGAAGAGACCTTGGAAACTTCTACCTTTGTAGCTGTTAGCCGAACTCTGAGCTCTGCGTAGTGTACTCTTGTGGTCTGGTACGCATCCCTATGTTCCTCGAAGGTGTCGCTGTAGATGAGGATATCGTCAAGATAGGCTGTACAGAACATATCAAGGTAGTCACGGACGCAATCATTAATAAAGTATTGGAAGGTGGCCGGCACATTGGTAAGGCCGAAGGGCATCACCGTATATTCGAAATGTCCGTAACGCGTACGGAAGGCTGTCTTCCATTCTTCACCTTAAGCCATTCGGATCTGATTATACCCTTGGCGAAGGTCAAGCTTAGTGTACCATTTGGTTTTGGAGAGGCGGTCAAGAGTTTCCCGGATGAGTGGCAGCGGATAGCAGTTTTTTACAGTGAGTTCGTTGAGGCCACGATAATCGACACAGAGACGGAGTGTTCCATCGGCTTTTTTGACAAATAGGACAGGGGCACTGGCAGGCGAAGAGCTGGCCTGAATGAAGCCTTTTTGTAGGTTGTCCTGTATGTATTGCTTAAGCACGATGAGCTCCTCACGGGACATACCATAAAGTGGCCCAAACGGGGGTTCTTTTCCCTCCCTGAGCGGTATTTTATGGTCATAGGAGCGGCGAGGCGGCATCTCGTTAGCGAACTTCTCGTCCATCATCTTATAGAACCTCTTGTATCGGGTTGGGACTCGATTCCTCCAGTCTTCCTTAAGGGTCTTGCCCATCGCCTGATCTATTTCCTCGATAGTTGTGCTGAAGATTTGGAGCTTGTCCCTTCGAGCGAAGCGGCAGAGAGCAGCTGAACTGACGAGGTGGAAACGGGGTGGCGGTGTGATCCCTCTAATGGGAACGGGTATGGCAGGGGAGTTGCGCTTACGCTTACAGTATTCGGAGTCGAACAGTATACTATTGTCCTTAAACCGTAGTATGGCGTCGCGTAATTGGAGCCAAGTTTTTCCGAGTACGAGTGGGTATGAGCCGAGTTTGGTGACGAAGAAGGGGATAGTTTCATGGTGGGAGTCGATTGATAACGGTAGGTAGCAGAGGTGGGTAATCTGTCCGGAGGATATGGGCCGTCTGCCGATGACTTCGAGAGTACGGGGCGATTTAAGGGGAAGAAATGGAAGGTTGTTATGGAACGCGAATGTTTTATCAATGAATGCGAACCCGGAGCAACCGGTATCAATCAATGCGTAGGTTTGAATGGGTATTTTATTGTTTACAATTTTACAGGAAGCAACAAAATGATCCCCATCCAATTTATCCTCCACAGATGATACCGAGAAGCCAGAGATAGAGAACGCAGACAAAGGAGAAACATTAGAAGGTCCCGGGCAGGAGCCATTAGTCAAGCCCGGGACTACTGAAAACCCGACTCAGAAGAGGCAGGACTAGCGATCGGTGGGGCAGCGGGGTCGGCGGCATTATGAGCGGGTACGAGAAGGGCGCCCCTCATAACTGGTTGATTACCATGCGGGCGATTGGCAGAAGGGCAGTTGGCGAAGACATGGCTGGGGTTGGCGCAGTACATACAGAGGTTGTCGTCCCTTCGCCATTGTTTTTCGGCAGCAGAGGTTTTACGTTGTCCATTGACAAAAGTGTATCGTTGTTCGATGGCAGGGCGTTGAGTGGAGCGGCTTTGGAGAGCGGAGAGGTCCATTGGGGCGAGGCCTCCGGCGGTGTGAGATGGGTGTGCGACAGCGGCGGGGGCGGTAAATTGTCCCATCGTATTCCGAATGGCCCGTTGTTCAGCTTTACGGCCCTGAACCTGGTTGTCAATTGTCATCAACATGGTAGCATATGCCTCGACGGTGTTAGGCCTGTCTGTCCGGTATGACATGGCATCCTTCAGGTCTTCCGACAGTCCTTCGGCCAGGGCATCGATCTTGGCTCCTTCGTTGTAGTCCAGGTATGCCACAATACGGGGAAACTGCGAGTAATGGGTGGCGAAGTCACCTTTGCCTTGCTTCAAGGTAATGAGTTGGCGACGGGCAGTACCCTGGGGGTCTGGGTCTCCAAACGAGGCTTCCAGGTGGGCAACGAAGGCAGTAACGGGGGAGAAGGAGGCGGCAGGGTTGGCGTTAATGAGTGGAAAGACCTGGTCAAGGGCCCTTCCTTCCAAGCGACTGACGGCATAGATAACCTTTGCTGCCTCGTTTGGGAACCGATCGTAGTTGACCTCAAGTTACATTCGAAGTTGGGTGGTAAATCCGGGGAGCTTGGTATGGTTACCATCGAACTTTTCGGGGTCTGGAAACTTTTCGGACCTGAAGGCGGGGACAGTAGTGGGTGGGGGAGCAGCGGCAACAGGGACAGCAACGGTAGGGGCGGGGGTGGCACAGGTGACATAAAGGTCGAGGTTGAGCCGGGTTACCTGCTCCTCGAGGTTGTCAATGGTTTCGTTGGTGGCGGTAAATTGTGTATGAAGGGTGTCCCTCTGGAAGCGGACGCGCTGGACGAGGGCGGTGTTACGGGCATGCCAAGCATTTACGGGAGTGAGAGAAAGGCTAGTAGATACCCCGATACCCTCTGATACTAATGGCAACACTACTATCAACTCCGGTTCGCACCCACGAGGTACGGTGCGATCAATATGCGACCAAATGCGGAGTTGCGGTTTTCCTAGTTAAAAAATACGTTTTCGACCCCAATAATAACCCCCGGAGCGTCAAACCGCCGGAGGGGAGTGCTTTTGGACCGGTGGATATATGAGGGACAGCTGGAATCAATCGGATCGAAGATCGGACTACCCGGAGCGAATCGGTGCAAGCTACCAGCCGACCGAGTACCTATCGGCGGTACCTGTGGGCATGAGAAGACTCTGCTATGTGGGAAGAGGCCTGAGTAGGTAGCTTTGCTGTCCGAGACCACCGAAGAGCCGACGCTGACGATTATCCGCCAGACGGCTGATGGAGAAGAAACATCGACAGGGAAACGTGCATTAGAATGGATAAATAGGTTGAGGGGTTTCAGCGGGTTTAGGAGTTTGGGTTACGGACTTAGGAGTTAAATGTTCTTGGTTGTTTTTCAGGGTCTCGGGCATGCCCCGAGTGTATTCTGTATTATTAGCAGACTGGGTCCTCGAGACATAAGCGAGGGATATAAATACTGTGTCATTCGCTGACTAGCCAAATCATTATCGGCGAAATCAGAGTCTTAACAATATAAATCGTTGATATGCGAGTTACAACTTTATTTGACTATACTTTTGAAATACTTTATTCTATCGTGACTTCGAACTCTACCTAAACTATTACGTCGAAGACGGTCGAATACCATCCGCTAACTCTAGTGAATCTTTGTTGATAATGTAGCTCGCGGGGCCCGTATCGGATCAAGGAGAATCATACTTGACGTTGACTGAAGAGACCTTGGAGACTTCTACCTTTGTAGCTGTTAGCCGAACTCTGAGCTCTGCGTAGTGTACTCTTGTGATCTGGTACGCATCCCTCACATTGAGGTAGAGTTCGAAGTCACGATAGAGTAAAGTATTTCAAAAGTATAGTCAAATAAAGTTGTAACTCGCGTATCAACGATTTATATTGTTAAGACTCTGATTTCGCCGATGATGGTTTGGCTAGTCAGTGAATGACACAGTATTTATATCCCTCGCTTATGTCTCGAGGACCCAGTTTACTAATAATACAGAATACACTCGGGGCCTGCCCGAGACCCTGAAAAACAACCAAGAACATTTATCTCCTAAGTCCGTAACCCAAACTCCTAAACCCGCTGAAACCCCTCATCCTAATTACCCGTTCTAATGCACGTTTCCCTGTCGATGTTTCTTCTCCATCGGCCGTCTGGTGGATAATTGTCAGCGTCGGCTATTCGGAGGTCTCGGACGGCAAGGCTACCTTCTCAGGCCTCTTCCCACATCGCTTTCCCACATAGCAGAGTCCTCTCATGCCCACAGGTACCGCCGATAGGTACTCGGTCGGCTGGTAGCTTGCGCCGATTCGCTCTGAGTGACCCGATCTTCGATCCGACTGCTTCCAGCTGTCTCTCATATATCCACCGGTCCAAAAGCACTCCCCTCCGGCGGTTTGACGCTCCGGGGGTTATTATTGGGGTCGAAAATGTGTTTTTTAACTAGGAAAACCGCAACTCCGCACTTGGTCTCATATTGATCGCACCGCACCTCGTGGGTGCGAACCGGAGTTGATAGTGGTGTTGTCATTAGTATCAAAGGGTATTGGGGTATCTACTGGCCTTTTCTCTCACTCCTGTAAGTGCTTGGCATGCCCGTAACAGTGGGTTTCGGGCAGGTTGATTTCCACCATTCTGTAACGGCAACTATGTATTTCGGCTAGATGATAAACTGGAATGAGGGAAGGAGGTATTGTGTAGCGGGATTAGGATTTGTAATGGGGATTTCTGTTATGTTCTTTTGGTTTCTGTTACGCGAAGGTATTTGTCATCATTGGACTATGGTTGGATATATAAGGGGGCGTTGTCTTGTGCTTTTGTTTGTTTTCCTTCTTCTCTTCTTTCTTTACGCAACCTCTGTATTCTCCTTGCTCGCTAAGGCTCGCAAAACTTCCTGATATCAAACCTCGCTTTAAAACTTCTTGTTTTTTATTCCCCTCGGTTTACCCTGGTATACCATACCAGGTTGAGCCACTTTGTCCCCGATCGTACGGTCGCGTTTTGTTGTTCCAAGCGAAAAGAAACACCACGAAAACTGGCTTCTAGCGAAGAATTCTCCAGCCTTGACCTCCCAAAGGGAAGGAAAAGAAACCTATCCGAAACATCACTTCACGCCGCCGGAAGAACTGGACATTCAATTATGTCGCAACAAGCCTCGCTCCAATCTTTCTTTACTCAGTCTTCCCAGCAAGGGACAGCCCCCCCGCAGAACAGGAACACTCCGGTTCCTGACCCAACCCCATCCGGAGCTCAGGAACAAGAATTCTCCTCGATCTTTGCATCAGAATCCGACTACAACGACCCATACCAGCCGAGAATTGACTACCTCTACCCGAGCGTTGTCCCCCAAGACACTCACACCCAGACGGACCTGAACTATATTACCTGGGCCATCAGACATGCCACCAGCCGAATCTGCCCACCTACCGATAGGATGGAAACCCTCGAAGAGCAAACGACCACACTCCGGAGAACAGTGGATACACTGAAGCACCAAATCGAGGCGCAGACAAGCATGATCACCAGTATGCACTCGGCGATCCACCTTCTCCTTAATAAACAA